CCCAAGCAATCGACTTTTGTACAAAGTCTCCCTCTTATATGTTCTATTTAATACATGAGTTTTCTTTGTTACCTTTCTGTGCAGTTTTCCTATACATAAACAATCGGTTAACAAGTTTTTCTAATTAAATTTAATAGGAATTTTTGAGTCGTCACGTTATCTATTCTAGAAACGTTTGATGTATTTATTTAGCACGATTTTTATATGCCTATTCCCTTTTCAGAGAGTCGCTAGCTAAAGACTCAGGCTCTTATTTGAAATTCAAAATGTCAAAATCGAATACTAGTCACAAACGAGCGATAAGGCCGCCTTTTGTATCATTTCTTATTACAATTAAATGCATTTACCATTTTATAAATGGTGCAATAAAGTGTAAAATAAAATAAACTATATCACTTATAAGTGTACATCGACATGTAGTGAACAAAATTTTTTTGAATCAAACTACACATTCTTTTTCTTTTCTTATGTGATACATTTGGCGTGCCTGTTATATCCACAATTGCGATACATTCTTTATTTGAAATGTATATATAACTGAACAGAAAATCGAGTTAAAGAAGAAACCGGTATTATAAAAATCAAGTAGAAGGCGTACAGTGCTTATCTATCTAATAATACTGGTCCTAAATCAACACGTGTGAATAGCAAAAGGCAATGTAAACGTTCTTGTAAATACGTGCGAGAACAAACAAGAGATACAATGAAGTGGCCCGGTACTGGGATGAGCTTAATGCAGACTAACCGTGGCCAACAGCGCTCTAGCAATTAATTTATTGGTAAACTGCAGTGAATAAAATGACACCTGCATCATTTTAAATAAATCTTAATCAAGCGATTACCCTTAAAGTAAAAAAGAAGAACAGTGATCAAGTTCAATTACTAGATTATTATATAATAGTATATTAACGTTTATTAAAAGTATGTTTTTATTCCAATCATCATCATATCAGCCTTTAACTGTCCACTGTTGACAGGTCTCTCCCATAAGGGGGCTTTTGCCAATAGTTGCCATGCTTGGCAGAAGGAATGGCAACAGCAGTTAGGCCTTTAAGGATGTTTTAAAAGGGACGCTGCTACCCATTCCTCGACCATAAGTTCCCTAGTCGTCTCTTACGACACACACGGGAAAGGAAGGGGTGGCCCTTTCTATATCGAGACCGATACGGTGATGTATTCTAATACGGAATTAAAATTACCCTTTACCCTGTTGTTCTATTGTAAAATAAATGAAGTACCTACACTATATTATTGTTTAACTGAGAATCATCATTGTCATTACCAATTTAAATCGAAATACAATCGATAATCATAAAAAAAAAATAGATGAATCAATAGAAAGTGTTTTAAAATAACTGCATCGTAAGGCAAGCAGTTCAAAAGTGGTGCATAGCCGAACGCGATGCGCGATCCGCGGCCGCCGGCGCCGGCAGGTGGCTTAAATTACCGCATTTGTTACACGTTTACACGAAACTGTATCAATATTTCATGCGGATTTACACGAGCTATGGCGAGGGTTTGCATTTTGCCATCCTGAAATATCTACGGTTGTTTCCGGTGTCATATAGTATTGTAATTTAAGGTTTTGTTCCACAAAATGATCATATCGATATTAGTAAGGAAGTAAAACTGGCGTAAACTATTAATAACAAAAAGAATCATCAAAAACCGTGTAAAGTTAACGAAAATATCACGCAACATACACACAAAAATACATACGCATTAATTAATCCAATATAGTTATGATATATCTATATATAAAAAATCATTTGTCCTAACTGACTTGCAGCATTTTATGATATAAAAATCTACTGAAGAATTTTTGAAAAGTCCACCCCTAAAATCTTAAAATAAAGGTTGAACGGACAACCGTCATTTTCAAAGTTAAAAGCATGAAATTTCATGTTGAACATGCTTCTGGGTAGAAATAAATAAATATGCATAAATACATACGTATTTCGTCATTTTTAGAAATTCAACTCCAAATTGGAGAAACAGAGTCGAAACATTAGTAAAAGTTAAAAAAGTCTGATCTATTATAAATCTACTATTTGTATTTCTTTATTAAACGAATAAACATATATTTAAAGTTTTTAGAAATTCCAATCCTCAGAAGAAAAAAGGTTTGGCATTTCTTATTTTTATTTTAAAGGATTAACGCGTTGTTCGCGGATGTTCGCTAAAAAACTTCATATACATATAAATAAATATATACATAGAGGCAAATAATGCTATGTAAAACACGTCCCAATATCATCGCCCAGGAAGGTACAAGAAAGAAATACGTTTTCTTTAGCGAACTAATTAAGATAAAACTCTGTATAAATATATAAAAGTGTACAAAGAGAATTAAATTTCATGCTTATTACTATGAAAATCACAGACTTCCAAATTACCATTTACCTTTTACTTACACATACATATGAGTGAAGACACGGGCTAATAGCTGGTTCATGATAGTTATATTTGGTTCCACTGTAATATGTTTTTACTATATAAATATACAATCGGTTTCGAAACATCCTTATACGTATTAATAAAAATTAAGAATCCTTTTTGAAAACGTCGTAAATATTGTTTGACGCGTAACTCTGAAAAATCACATATTTACGCGTGGACAAGCCATAATTACATTGAGAGTGCAACGTCGAATCCCTGCAATGACGATTCACTCAAATGTAAACGCGAACTATTTCCATAAGGAAGGCATTGCGAAAGTTTTTCAATTTTCAAGTGACGCAGGTATGATGAAGAACTTTGGCTTCGGACGCACCGCCTCGCCATATACTTAGATGCGGTCTTATTCCAATCCAACAAAGTCGTCACTGGTATTCTTTAGAAATAAGACAAAAGATTTGTTACAAATATTTTAAATCGAAGAAAGTCATCCCAGCAATCTTTAACTACGAATTCGTTCCCCAGTCCCGTTTGTGATTTTATTGTAATAGTAATTTTATGTAAAATATCTCCTTTAAAGCTCTCAATACACATTTTTATTTAAATTGATAGGTGAGGCTAAGTGCCTGGGGTGGGCAAAGATAGGTACATTATGCAGCATCACGCCGGGATTACGAGGATTGTTTCCTAAAACAGGATCGAGTGGGAACAACGTCTGAATTAAACGGGACATATCACCAAATCCACTTGTCATTTGCACTGATTAAATCAGCTACAAAATATAGCAAACGTGAAGTTATAAAAAAATTAGTCAACCGTCTTCTAATTAATATTTATTTTTTTACAGTAATTAGATCTAGTATAATCAAATATTCAATACTAAAACAACTTTAGCCTATTAGATATATCTAGAGTGAAGGATATAGAGTTGATAAAAATAAAGGTCAAATGATATAAATCCCCTAAGAATGTATGTCGGTATACAAATATATAAAATAATTATCGAATCAATTTAAAATTATAAAGATATCGGGTAATATAAACACACAAACATTCTCCCTTTGGAAATCGTTTAAAAATACATATTCAACACATCACATTAGTAACTTCTGATAATTATTTTATAGTACACCATTGTTAGTATCTTAGCGAATAGTTGAACATCTTGTACAAAAAACCGACTTTAATTTGGCAAAATTATTGATTAATAATAAAAAAAATTAGATAAAAAAGGATTAATAAAAAATATTTTTAGAAAATTAAATTAATGAAATGAATAAAAATCATAATCATCAATTTATAAATAATATTAATATACATCCATTGTAAGATTACAACAAACAATAGACATTCATCTCCGCTTGGATGGATATCCTTTGGCCATATAACTGAGCCACTTACGATACTTCCCTAGCAATGTCCTTATTCTCTTTTACTTATCTAAAAAGTGCCGGCGTGTTATCCCTCGGGGGTCACATTTCAGCTCAATAAAACTTCCATGAAAACATTCGGTAACATCCAATATGATTTCATCGCTGTCTCCATAAGGCCCTGAAGAGGAGTAACATGAAATATTCTGGAATAATATACGTTTGTTATTTCGTTACATAGACGTAGCTATATGTTTTTATATAACGCCTAAGTTCAGATTCTCTAACATTTCGATTTGTTCGTAGATACTTACTAATAGTTTCCCTTCGCTTTGCCCGTGAAAATCAATGTATGCTTTTATGTTTCTAGGTCTAGCTATATTTTATTTATCTATTAATCAGTTTCATTTAAATATTGTATACCTACTTATAAAAAAGGATATTAGCCTACAACTTACTGACCTTCTTAACACTGGCTAGACGATAAGTATTAAACAACAATTATAAGTAATATTTTATTAAATCCAAAGACCTTAACGCCAATTACCTTTGTTAAATTGTATACTTAATTAAATAAAATATAGAAACTTCATAACTAATGAAACAATTTTATTATGATCCAGTACAACTTAGATACAAAACTGACAACAATTCGAGCTCGGAAATAAGCAGATTATTCATTCATGAAGGCGGCACGAGAGCGGTATTCTATATCATAGTATATATCCGCCTATATTTGTTCTATCGCTGTTGTATTAAAAACGCTCTAACTATACGTATAAAGTGTGTCGTTAAGATTCAATAATTTATAAGGGTTCTTTAATAATGTCATTATTAATTGGTATCTTATTATACTAAAACAGAAAAAAAACTACACAAATATAGCAATACTATAAAGTCTGTTTAATGGCAACACCATAATCTTTAGAAAACTCAGTAATATTTTTAATATTAATTATTATGTAATATGCCTCTGGTAAGTAGTATGAAAAGTATTTTAACACACGACACTATTATGACATTTTATACTTGAACGAAATTACTGCCTAGATTCTAGGCCATGGAACTTGTTTTCTGTTTAAATGAAGTAAATATTCTTTACTTATAAATAATAGTCTATTATTTATAAGTAAATAGATAAATTTTGAAACATTATGTTTCACCAAAAATATACCTTTAGATATAGATTTAAAAAACGTGAATTCATATTGGGATCTGACCGGCATCTCAACAAAACAACTCTGCATGTTCCTACATTATGTATGTTAACAAGGTCACATCAACATTAAATATTAACAAGTTTATATGAAGGTGTCAGTTAATGACACGTTAACGTTAACTAGAATTTGTAATAGAGGGGAGCACAGCTGTATCCAGAGCATTCCCGAGTTATGTCCCGCGCGAGACAGGCGCCTGATTAAAAATGCAGTACTTCAAAACGAGGTGGATTCGGCACTGGCGTCGCTGGCGCACGGTAATGCCAGTGTTGTTGTGACGCTGGAGCTGCGAACTTGCCTCCCTTTATATGTTTTGAGTGACGTTCAGTGCTTTCGTTGGAATACATAAGCAACTATTATATAAACCATCACCAAAGTGAAATATATTCATAAAATATCAAATAAGTAAACAACTAGTTTAGTAAATGCACTGTACCACACTGCAGTGTTAAAATATCCTAAAATAACTTCTAAACTCAAATTGGAAACGTGTGACTTAATGTGCAGAAATTAAATTATTACGTCTATCTTACTTAGCGAAGCTTAAAATGGAAACGTTTTAGTGAACTAGGTACGTATGCGATGGATCTAAATATTTTTTTATTCAGTGTACATAATTTAGGGCATTTACTGAGGATAGAGGAAATCTTTATTTTTAAACCGGCGGCAGCGGCATCAGATCGATCGCAGTAGGTACTTTCTGATATCCATAAAACAGTAACACGGCCAGCGAGAGACAAGAACGCTACAAACGTCAGTATTTTATTTACGTGAAGAGCACAGCGATAGCTATTCGGCGTCTATTTTCGCACCATATCGTTTATTATGAGGGCCGATGCCACGCCGCGGCATGAGCACACTGAGGGAGTCGCGCAGGCCACTCCACCGCCTGATATTATATTCTGGAGCACGCCGCCTCGCCTCGCGCTAGATATTTCGAGTGTTGCTTCTACCACCTATGAATTTATCTAGTCTCAGTCACAGAACACGACCGGTGCAGCCGCCTGTACCGCTAAATAAACTTATAAGCGATAAATTTATACTTGCAAATCGCCTAACAATAGTAACGCGTATTTAATGTCGCACGCCTCGTGCGAATGCGACTTTTACCATGTTGATATAAGGTCGAATTTAAAAACTTGGATATATTGTGCTCACTTCAAACACTTTACATGTTTGTGTGTGATTCCATAAGGTAAATACGTTTCTGAATCAACATTTCAAATTTAAAATATGTTATTGAGATTACTTTAATTCAATATAATAAGCCTGATCATCAGCGTGTTGGAGTTTTGAATGGTAATTTACCTGAGTAACGAAGTATCACTTATCTATTTCTCTTAGTTCTATAGAATAACAATGCAATACGAGATACTACCGACTGTTCATGATCTATAACATAAATGATCTTGTGTGTACGCATATACGCAATATTTATATTTGGCCAAAAATTACTTTCCATCTAAACTATAAAAAATATAATTGTATGTTTAGTTTAATTCAAAATAAATTCGAAAATATAACAATTCAAAGGAATAATACCAATAAAATATATTTAAATTATAAAATAAATAAATGATCATATTAAAAAAAAACTGTATATATAAACATATAGACAGTTATTTTTTGGTACACTGCTCAGTAATAGTGACAGTGGAATAATTTATCGTCACTTGAAATAAACAAGACTATAGATAGATATCAGAATATGTGTACTTTCTTTGGCAATAAAGTAAAAAATACAACTACAGGTCTGTTAAGAGGAAGAGATTGTTAGTCGCGGGGAACAGTGACTACTTTTCCGGCTTATACCCTGTCAGATCGACCTCCACATGTCTCCTCTGAAACTGTCATGGTTAATTCGTCACGATAGGAAAACTGGCCTTATTTTATCCACATTTATAATCATTCACTGGCATCCCACTGACGTATACCCATGGTGAAGACGGGTAAACATTTTATTTTCATCCATTTCCTTAAAAAAAACTATTCATTCGGAATTTAAAATTATTTCAACCTTATCACGTATGTTCTAGATATCAACAGATTCCATTTTAAAAATAAATTATTAATCATTGTAATATATTATTATTAGGTGCATATATACGTACTCATCAGATAATTAATAAAATATGGATATACGAATGTAAATCTACAAAATTTCTTTTGTTAAAAAAATCTTTGTATCATGGTAAGCTATTGTATTGGTGTGAAAAGCTACGGAGACAAAGAAGACTAATAGCTTTTATATTCATAGACACCTGCCAGTCCATTCTATCAGTTTGAAATAATTTCTCATTTCGTCGGTTATATATTTGAAATAAATGATACGTATTGATACAATTTAATAAAACAATAACTTATTATAATAATGCGCCACTTACCTATTATCTTTTTTCTCAATATCCTCTACCCAAATGTTGTCTGGGAAAGATTGCTTAGCGATGAAGCTACTTTTTGTATCACTTCGCCTTAAACACTTTCTGTATTTATTATCTTTTGTACCTGGTGCAATAAAGTGAAACCCTCTGATTTTTAAAACCTAAAACCTCCTACAATTCTACTTTAACTATGTATTACACTGTTTTGTCGTTTTCATTCAAACTAAGAATTTAGCACAAAAGAAAGCGACAAAAGAGTTCAATAGGTAAAATAGGTACATACACACTTGTTATTGCACTTACAGTAGTAGTAGGTAGATATATATATATATATATATATATATATATATATTAAGTTAAGGCTATATATATATATATATATATATATATAGCCTTAACTAACATACGAAATTGCTTCTAAAACAAGACTGAAAAACTCTACTGAAACATATAATATGAATCAGTATATCATATCAGAATCTGTCTACTTGCGAAAAATAGCATGCTATTATCGGACCGCCTAGTTAATTCACACTGTCTGCCTTTTTACGGCAACCACTATAATAAATAGTTAGTAGTTTCCTTTTGTTATTTGGCTAATTTGCAAGTTTAAAAAAGATTTTGTGTTCATGTTCATATACATTGCTAATTTTCAAATTTATGAAAATTCAGATAAGTTTTATTACACTAACAAAGAATGTAAAAATTAAATTTTAAACAATGGATAAAATAGTTTTAAAAGAGTAATTTTACTATAGAAATTAAAAGGAGTAGAATATCAGTTCATTAGTTACACAGATAATTAAAATAAATTTTACTTCCATAATAATATTCATGTAAGAGAAATGAAATGATGCCTACCTTCACCTATATGATTTGTATTTGCAAAAAAATCCATGATACATTAACACCGTATTCGATCCTTTTTGATGAATTATGATAATTTGGACATGCTCATGTTACAAAATCTTTGTCCACTTTTTTATCCTCCAATTTGTTCAGATTTCGCACACAGTTCGTTAACCTTAAATTGGACATATTTTTGCTCTGTCGTTCATAATCTAAAGAATCCTAAGTATGCAACCAAAATAATAGCATAGAACTCACAGTTTCAATAAGATACAATTTGTTGACTGTCACAATACGCTTAATTATATTCATCAAGGTATTTTTCGAAAAGCCTACATTATATTCATTAGTGCAGCTCTGTGTCTAGGCCGACATTGTTACCATTACCATTCATTAGCGCACTATACTGCATTTTATCCATCAGTTTTCTCTCCTTTCAGTCTTATTTTGCATTCAATTATTACAGATAATTAATAATAGAGCTTTAATTTGTAAATTTTAGTATACATGTTATGTGCATTTTGCATTAATTAGTCACTTGTAATTCTCCTTTGTACCATAGAAATGTAGCTGATTGATGAAAAATAAAATACGAGTGTATGATGCGAACAAAAACAACTAAACAACATTAATCAAAGGCTGTATCAAACTTTAAAAAATTTTGCATTACTAATATGTTTAAATTATTAATTCTATATAACACCTTCTTTATTATTCACTAGTGACCTACAATTAAAAAAGAAAAGATACTTATTGGAAACTGTTTATTTATTTCATCATCCTTTTATATAACAGTTTTTTCACGTGCTTTTGTTTGTTTTGCTTTCATAATCTTGTATCAACATAATATGTGTATATTTTCAGCATCCCGTCAGATATATGTCACAGAGTGCTCATATTCTTTTAACATCAAAATCAAAGAGATGAGTATAGAAGATACGTCTGGGAGCACAGGAATGGTACATGGATGGGGTTGCACGCCTACTGAGGACCCTCCCCCCATAACTATCGCCAACAATGATCATACAAACACAAAATGCTGGTCAAATACTTTTATAAAAGGCTGGAGGAGAACTGCCCTGTATGCTATTATTGTGTTACTCATGATGTTAGTTTTCCTGAATATAGCATTGACGTTGTGGATTATAGGAACAATGAGACTAAGTATGGTAATGATATTTGTTTGTTATACTTCTAAATAACATCAAAATTAAAATATACACTTGAGTTTGTTTATTTAATAGTTTGTTATCTCCCGATGTCTTAATGTTTCAAATAATCATCATGTAATTCAAATTACCCACATATTTGAGATATAGAATAACATAAGCATTTTATCTCAAGCAATCAATACTGGTGCATCCCGATCACTTAGATGAAATTGCAAGCTATGATAATATCAAATTACATATTTTAATTAAATATACTCATCATCTCAAATAAAGTAATCGTAGTGATGGATGTAACAATTGACTTAAATATAATAAATAAATTTAAGATAGAAGTTTTGGTGTCACACTTACGACCACTGCTATAGTTTAACACACACACACACACACACTAACTATAACACTGAACCACAGCGCTCCTGATAATCAAACTTTGCTTGTATTGCAGAAAGGAATTGGTCCAATCAAAATAGTAAAAGATGGAATACATCTGGAAGGGCAGGCGTGGATACTCGACAACTTAGTTGCCTCATCGATAACATCACAAATTGCTCAGCCTATCACAATACGATCACATCGAAATTTCACTGTACTCGTATCCGAGCCGGGACTGTCAGAACAAGCGAAACTTGTTATAAGTTAGTCATTTTTTCTATTAAATAAATATCCCAAATAAATTTATTTAGCAACTAAATAATCATTTTAATGTTTTCGTTTAATTAAGACTCTAATGTTAATAAATATTAATTCTATTTACTATAGTTAATTTTAAACTTCCTTGTTGTTGATACACATTTTTCTTCGCGTTAAGTCCTAATAATGTATTTAAAATAAAGTATTTAAAATATATATTTGCTGTCCTTAAAAAACAAGATTTGTAGGTACAATCATTAAAATAAAAATTTGATCTCATTCTTATTGATTTTTGTATTGATTTGCTTCTAACTGTAATTTATTGCCAACTATATCATATATTTGGCTTTTCTGTAATTGAAATAACTATCCAGTATACTTTTTTGTTTATTATTTATTCATAGAGCGCGACAGCGTAGAATGCAGTGGTCGAATGTTCGAAGTGCGTGATGCTCATGGAAACAGCGTGTTTCACGCATCCAAAGATGAGGTGCGCGTTCACGCCAACACCATGACTGTGAACGGAGTAGGCGGACTCTCTGTGAGAAATGCAGTACAGGCTTCTCTCGTTAATGCACCACCCGGCTCTGACCTTATGTAAGCTATAAGCCACATGCTTTATTTATAGTTTGCTCAATCTTAATTTTTGGGCTTACTGTACAAATATACTTGTACCACACCAAAACATTTTTATATTTTAACATACTTTTTCCTCCGTTAAAATTTTTTAATGATACACAAAATAAGTGATATGTTTTTCACTAGTCTGATCTGGAATGTCCTAACTAAATTTGTTTTAGATACATGCGTACCTTTATTTGATCTCTTAATCAAAAGGTAATAAAAAAGTAAATGAATTAGTTAGCTAATAAATATTTTTTGTGAAACTTGCAACAAGTCAATTAAGTAATTATGTAAAGTCATACTAGTACCTAATTTAAATAGTGTCTCGATTTGGCAAAAAAATTGTTAATTACATTACATTCATATTAATTACGTAAAATAAGGAACCTCATACTCTGGTCGAATACTAGAAATAAATAATATTAAAAATAAAACTTATACCTAATATTTAGAACATTTTCACACTATAATAGAACAATTATAATTTAAACAGATATTGCTTTTTCTAAATGTGAATTTATGATTTTATTTTTAGGTTGGAATCACTAACGCGGCGCCTAGACCTGCAAGCACCCCAGTCTATATTACTCGAGAGCAGAGCGGGCAACATTGATATTATTTCACATAGTGACATTAAACTTAACTCCGTGGTTGGTGCGGTAAGCCTTTCCTATATTTATTAGATTATTAAGACGATAAAGCCAAACTTACTTGTGTTCTCACTTAGGCTCTTTGTTTCATTCACGAGTATATTTATGAATATACTGCTGTACATCACATCTATCTAGAATTTCTTTTTCTGCTTTTCATTTATATACCGGTTTATAATTTAATCAATAAGATAATAAGTATAAAGTATAAGATAAACATATCATTTATTTATTTATTCATTTAACATTTCACGTATTTCAGATTCGAATTAATTCATCAAATATTATCATTGGGAACCTTAAAGAAGCTTCTGTAGTAGCTGACAGCTCAAAAAATACATGGAGTAAGAAAATTTACCAGTTATGTGCCTGCGCAACCGGCAAACTGTTTCTGGCGGCTTCCGATGCATTATGTGAAACTCAAGACGACAAATTATGTCGATGATAAAAAATCTACGTTCCATTTATACTAGTCAATTTTATTTAAACATAATAATTATATTGTGATCGTAGTTATAGGGAACATTGGCGAAATTAATCCCATAATTTTTAATATTTTTATTTGTTTTTACATGTTTTACATTATAATGAGACTTGTGCCAAATTCTATATAGAACATTGCCTATATAATAACAAAATAAAAGAAACAAGAATATTATTATTATCTTATGTGCCTATTTTATAATATAAATGTAGCAACTATTCTTTATAAGCTGGCGTGGAAATTAATAAAAACAAAACAATTCCTATATTGGTAAGGACGCACTTTGCGACTGATAAAGTTATTCATGTTAGATCAACCTGCTGACTTTTATTTCCACATATTATGAAATATAAATGGCATCACGACCCTAATTATCTAAATTAAAGCTAATTTAGTAAATAAATATTTTAACCAAAAATCGTACTCAGAATTTCGACAAAAAGTACTTGTTTTATTGCACTATATAGGCCATCAAATTACGAACTTGAACACATGATGACATAAAATTTACATATTACTAAGTTTTTTTTTTATAAATAAATTGCACCAGATTTTTTTTTATTATTTCAGTACATACAAAAATTCAAGATTTTAAAAATTAAAGGTAAATATTTGATGTTTTGTATGTATCTATATTTCACCAAATTTCAAAAACAATTGACATATTCCTGTAAAAAAATCCTTATCAATTCCTTAGGACGATATCGGTCAGTGAGAAAATAGACCTTTCATAGTGTGCCAGTCTGATTCACGATGGTCGATGGTAACTTGCATAAAATGTATTCAATTTTCTCGTGTACATGTAGCTATTTTGTTTTGTTAAGTGAAACATCACATTTCAATTTACAATTTTCATAATTACAATTCAGTATTGGTGAAAATAATATGTAATAATGAAATATTAGCCAAGAAATACTAAAATACTAATAATAGAAGTAATTTTAATATTCATTAATAAATATAATTTAATAATAAACTGTATTTTCATTTACAATAAACGTTTAATAATTCCTACGATGGAGCTAAACAAATAATTTGACATACATTAGTAACTTCGATTTATGTCACATAATATTCGTGATCCTCTTACGCAGTATGTATAAGTATGTATACGTATGCAGTATGTATGTACCTATGACAATCTCCTGTAGTATAGTCCTTGAATTATAGATGTTTGTACATACAATTAAAATTGTATGTTAATATCTAATATACATAAAAGTACACAAATTGTAATATAAAAATAATAAAGAGGTAAAAAATTGACAGATATACTTACTATTACTTATATTATTATTAACAGGTTCATATTTCCTATCATTTAAGATTAAGAATAACTATATTAATATTGTCAAATTAATAAGAGACCAAAACGAAAATAAAGCCTATGCTTTATATAATTCTTTTATTCCACTTAGAATAGCAAACAAACTGACGGCCCAGTTGATGGCAAGTGATAACCGTTGCCTACAGACATGAACACAATTATGAACGTGACAAAAAATACTGTGTTGCCCATAATACCCCTCATGCGATTCCATTTCTGAGGACTAAGTTGTTATATCTCTAAACCTTATAATTTCACTGCTATATCCTTTTAAATCGAAACATAGCCATGCAAACACAACTTTTTCACGACAGAAACATAAATAGGACAATATATATTTCTGTCGTGAAAAAGTTGTGTTTGCATGGTATATATATATATATATATATATATATATATATATATATATATATATATATATATATATATATATATATATATATATATATATATATAATTTTCAGAAACTTATATTTTTCATTTGAATAATTTTTAGATGAGCAAACCACGGCTAAAACACAAGTAACACAAGTATAAAAAACAAATTATAATTTTTGTATAGTCGTAATATTATTTCAAGATTACAACGGTACATGACTATATCTCGAGTGAAACATAGTAAAGAACTAGATAAACATTGTTAGAGCATACGAAGTGTTTATAACAAATTGCTTCAAAATGAATAAATTCCTATTTTTTCTAACTAATAAATACTATTTCTTCGGATATTCTAGTCTTTCAAAACTCTTTCCTTCGTAATCAATCTTACCGGTTGTGGCGGCAGGAGCAGGGAGCGCGACCACCTCACACTGTCCAGTAAACGTCACCCTAATTGAAACCGCAACGACTGCGTTTTGTTTTCCGACTTCGTTTTTCGCTAGACTGAGCCAACGCTAAACTTTTTACAATACTAGACGCTAGCTATTTATTTCTTTTTTTATATTGTTTAATAAAATACTGGCTTCTTTTTAAAAGGACGTATAGAATAGAAGTAGAAAAGTGAACCTACTGCTATGTTAACTTACCTCTCACACCTTAATATAATAAAAACAAAAAGAAACACTATTTTTTAAACATGCATTCATTGTTCGTAAAATAGTATTTTTTTGTAACACGAAATTTCTAGTAATAAATTTTTTTTTAATTAAGTGCTAATAAAAATTTCTAATACTTCTAATTCTAAGCATATTTATCAAAATCATTTATTTACACTATAAAAATCACATACCAGATTTACTTAACACCTGAATTCTGATTATGTTCTCTACCCTATTTGAAGAAACAATGATGATCTCATAAGCAATATTAGGATTTTATATTACGTGATTATATGATGCTGTAATTATGACACAGTACTCAAAATTAAAACAAAAAAGAAATCTTACACTTTATTTATAATTAACATCATAATTATTGTCTATGGTGGTTAACTAGAGAAGGTACGTGTCCATTAGTTTTTTTTAATCATTTTTTTTTATCATTTTTTTTTTTAGATTTATGTATGTATGGAATATTTTGTTTGAGTAAATTGTCAATAGGCTTGTTTGAAGCGAGGGGTGTGTGTAAAGGAACACACTCTTTGAAAATAAATTTTATTTGTTTGTGTTTCCTTCGCGTCGCATAAAAGGAGCTGTGAACTGTTACGCATTTATTCCGCTATATTTTTAGTTACGATTCAATAAAAAGAACAATCAAGTGACACAATATTTTCCTATAATCTTACCAAAAATATTACATAGGTACTAGGAAAGTGACTATAAATATACTCGAATATATATGTCTAAATAACTATTGTATTATGACTGAAATACGGTTTAAAGGCTTTTAAAAAAGTCTAAACATTCAAATATGTATTATTTTTGCAGAAGTTTATAAATAAAGACAATAGATATATGTGACGGATCGCTACTGATAAATTATATATTTTAGACTCTAATATAAATGATATAATAGAAAAGCTTGTACATCTATTATATATACCAGTCAAACTTTTTTCAAAATAGTTTGAAGATAAGTTATTACTGAAGTAAACCATCATACAAAGCTTTGTTACTGGGCCTCTTGAAAAGAAATCGCTTTTGTAAAACTGGTAGATTCGAGTATCAGGTGGCTTCGGGTTGCCGCTCTCCACAAAACTGTCCAGCAGCCCTGAGTTCAACGACTTGTCCACATTATGTAGATGAGCGCGCAGGTGCTCGTTATGTGGCCCCTGCACCACACCGTATAAAAACTTCGCCGAACAAAACGACCCTCACTCACTATTTCTAGGTGATACTCCTTTTGTTGTTTACCGCAAAATTAAGTGGCTCTTACATTGTTTCCGTATCGGAATATGATACGATGGAACTATTCGTGTATAAAACATTAAATATCTAACCCAAACTTAGTTAATCCTGTAATATATCCCAAAAATGAATTTTCTTTTGTAAAGAAATTAATTCTAATAAATAAAATTTTAAGCTTATACTGTAACATCAGTTGCCATAAGTATTATTTCTTCTCGATGTTATTAATATATTTATTTGTAGTCCCCGATTCCACCAAAACATAAGTTACAAAAATATTAAGTTTGCGACATATATTTCGATGAATGTGGATATTGTGACATTTACACCAGTAAAAATTATTGTTTTTTTTTACATATACGCCTATAGCATGTATATGACTTGATATAAATATTCTACAATTATTCAGGTTGGTTCAATGAAAACGAAATATGGTATACTATAATTAAATATAAGTATAAGTAAGTATACTATATTTGATACCTAACAAGAATAGGAAGATTAAGAGTTTTGTGTATAGGTGATGCATTTTCTATAGAAATTGAGTATTAATATTAACAGTGTGTTGTATATCGCTTACTAATAACTAAACAATATTGGAAATTACACCTAACCAAAGCTTTACACTTAATTAATCAGTGTAATAATATACATGCATGTAATAATTTTAACGTATCTGAATTGGTGCCCATATACTCCACTAAAAATTGTTTTGCACGTCGATTTTGTGGTTGTATAATAATAATTATGATATCATCCACTCTCGGCGGTAACGAAATATAAATTAACAATGATGAATGTAATTTCAAAAATGCCAACAACAAATGTAGACAATGGTAAATATCACTGCTATAGTTATGATACATTGGAACATTTCGGCGTTCCCAGATGACAAATACGGTTGTTAAAACCACCTGCCCGCGATACCTGTCTGCAACTATTGTTTACATATTCTATGATACCTATATTATATTACCTGTGCCAATAGAAACATAAATGTGTAGGTATTAATGCTAAGAAACACATAATATTATGGTACAAATTAAGAAAACCATATCCTAAAAACTAAAGGGTTGAAATTGGAAGTGAAAGTTTGTGTGGGAAATTTTCTTTATATTTTTGTTATAATCATATATTTTTAATTGTGGTTACGTTTCTCTCTCATTCTCTTTATTTCTAATTCTAATTTTCTAATTTTTTTTAATATGAAATAGCAAACAATTTCATCTTATGTTTTTAATATTTTTTAATTTTGGTACTTACAAGTGGATAAAATTTTGATATACTTATTAATCTCTCAAATAGAACTGAAAACCACTGCTGAAGATCTTTAGGTACACTAGAATATTCCAATTTTTCTATTTACGATAAAATTCATCTACTATTCTAAAATAAATGAAAAAGTCTTTTAAAATCATCATATTATTATATTCATCTATTATTATATTGTTATATATTATTATTGTTCATCTGTGTTATTACATTGTACATCTTCCTATTTTCGAAAAATATAAAAATGTAATAAGAACGCACAAAATGTAATTTTAATTTTATTTCCACAAGTTTTTCCTCACCTGGTGGTGCTTAATCATAATCACGGCCGAGCGTGATAATCTCACAGCTCGACGCTCCAGGTACAATGAAGAGAAAACGACATACGGATTATTTTTTCTCATTATCTCTTTTATGAAGCTTTTTCACACGTTCTTTGAATATTTTCGTGATCGAATGCATAATATTAATTTGATACTTATATATTTTCTACGATCCAATCTCAAGACGTGATGTTACTCGGTATGCCTAGATTTGTTTATTCAATCTAAAAGAAAAATATACACATTTTTAGTAATTAGATTAAATTTTTGCGACGTTCATAAATTGATATAAAAAAAATCATTTGTAAAATGTCAATCAAATTGTATTTTCCTGCTTGGACGTCTAAAAATGTCTATCAGTCATACTTAGTAAAGTTATTCAAGAAAATTTGTTTACACGAATTTCGCAAGAGACGTAGCTAATGACCGTGATCACAACAATAAGTAGGTACCTATTCTATTTTAATTTAATTCGTTTTTATTTACGGCCATCTCGATAGGTACCATATTTTGTTTCGTTTCCTTTTGCAACTTTGAGAATATACTTAGTAAGACAATTCAGCAATATATACGCCAATCCGACTTTCTCGACGGCAAGTTGGCTGTTATTGCGGAATGTTTCACCTTTACTGGTGAACATGCATACCTACATAATAATATTTACAATTCAAATGTAGAACTATTTGCACATTTCTCCCAAAAAAGAAAACTTTAAGCATCAATAAATTTTAAATGAATATCGTCTACAAAGGATAAGTACGACAAGATT